GCCTGGGAAAATGTCCCAGCCGCCAGCGGAGGGTTTGGGATTGATTGAATCCCCTCTGATGCCTGATGTATGACAAGTTTCTCTTTCCACAAAGCTCAGTGAAGTCCCCGATAAGTGCTGTCTGAGAGGTACCGGGAAGGACCCTGGTATTTAGTCTTTGGGCTCTTCGAGATCCACGGGCCCACTGATCCAGGTCAGCAGCTAATTAATCCCTTTCACAGAGCTGTATCTTCCTTCTAAATGATTTTCGGGTGTGCCAGCCAATTTATACTTTCTGAGCTGTGCTGATAAGTTACAGCCATTCAGATTCTTTTTACTTCAACTGTCCTTAGACTGACCAATAGAAGTACAAGTCTTGCATTCTTTTGATAAGGTTAATTTTAACTACGCCACAGGGCCTTACTACTTCAAGACTTCCTTAAATTTACTAGGCCTTACTTTATACAAGGCCTTACTACAACTTAAATTTTAATTAGGTTCTTAGCAGCAACATATAACTTAATATCTAAACAAATGCCGGAAAAACACGTGGTCTAATTTTCATAGAGCCTTCAGCAAGGAACTTTATCACACAAACAATTTTCAGCTGTCACAGGAGGGACCTCCCATGGTCATCTAGTCTAGCCCCCTGCTCAAGGTAGGGTCATCCCAGCCAAGCGCCTATATTCAATCTGCTCTTGAAAATTTCCAGGGATGGAGATTCCACAACTTCTCTTGATAGTTGGTTTCAATGTTTGACCAGCCTCGTAGTCAGAAGGTCTTCCTAATCTCCAAGCCTTTCAGAGTAGAGAAGCCACAGCAAAGTCCTTCAGCATCCCATGGTGTTTTGTTCTGAACCCTTAGGAAAACTGTATGCTGCTCACTGGGCGCTGTTGCTCCAGCCAGGCAGGAAACATAATATGACCCTTTCATAATCCCACATTGTTCTGCAGGGAGATGCAGGCTGACCCTAAGCAGCCTCGGTCAGCCAGTCAGGACTGCTCTGTGCATTGATGTCACCTGTCTCTGAGCCTGAGGAGAAAACTGAGATGTGTTCACGGGGACCCCTGGCTGCACTATGTCCTCACTGCAAGACTTCTGCTCTTCAAGGGCTCAGCATTCAAATGTCTGTTCAGGTGTCTCTGACTAAGTTTGTTTACCAGGAAAACAAACCTGGAAGAATTCTTCCAGATCGTTTAAACATGTACACAGCTAATATCTGCAACTCCACCTATCTTGGCATTATCCACAAATTTGCTCATCATGCACTCAGTACCATCATCCAAATCATTAATGAAGATGTTAATACCAGACCCAGGACAGGCTCCTGGGGAACCCCACTTGATGCCTCCCCCCAGAGTGATGTTGAGCCACTGATGACTACTTCTTGAGCAGGATCATCCAACCAATCACATATTGACCTTACGGTACTTCCATGTAATCTGTATTTTCCTTATCTTGTTAATGATAATAGTATAGGAGACGCTGTCAACGACAAGGTCAAGGTATATTACTCATCTCCCCACATCCACAGAGCCTGTCACCTTATCATAGAGGGAAATCAGATCGGTCAGGCATGATTTGCCTTTGGTAATCCATGCTGACTGTTCCTAATCGCCTTGTTTTCCTTTTGGTGCTTTATAATTAATTCTTTGAGGCCCTGCTCCATGATCTTTCCAGGTGTCAGGGTCAGGCCGACTGGTCTGTAATTCCCTGGCTCCTTCTTGTTTCCTTTCTTAAAGATGGGCACTATATTTTCCCTTTTCCTGTCAATGAGGAACTCGCCCAACCTCCATGAGTTTTCAAAGAGGCTGTTGGCTCTGAAATGATCTCAGTCAATTCCTTCAGTACTCTAGGGTGCATCCCATCCAGTCCTACTGACCTGAAGGCATCTAGCTTCTCTAAGTAATCCTTAACCTGTTCTAGCATTACTCTAAGCTTTTTGAATCTTTCCCTGTCTTTGCTGCCAACTGTGTTCATTATCTGGTAGCTGCCTTTGTTTGTGAAAACTGAAATTAAAAAAAGCATTAAATACTTCAGTCTTCTCTGCGTCATCCACAACTATATTGCTTTCTGCATTCTGTAAGAGATCTACAGTTTTTTTGGTCGTCTTTCTACTCTTGACACTTGAAGAATCTGTTTTTATTGCCTTTTATATCCCTTGCCAGTTACATCTCAAATCATGCCTTGGCCATCCTAATTTTGTCCCTGCATGCCTGTGTGATATTTTGTATATTCATCTCTAGTATTGTGACCAAATTTCTACTTTTTGTAGGATTCCTTTTAAGGTTTCAACTCCTTGAAGAGATTGCTCTCTAGCCAGATTGGTCTCCTGTTGCACTTCCTGTTCATCTGTCTTATTGGGATAGCTTGCTTTTGTACCCTTAATAATTAGTGGAGCTAAGCTTTTCCTGAATGAAGCAAGAATTAACCAGAATCCTGACATTTCACATGAGTGCTGTGTGGTATTTCCAGTCTGACCAAAGTGAAAAAACATTAAGTGCTTTCTGCAAAAACTTGACCTTGCAAATTTGGTTGTAAGATCACAGAGGTTTGAGTGGTTTAAGTTTCAGATAGGCATTTGAACTTTTGGATGTTTGTTTAAGCTCACTAATTTACCCTTTGAAGGTTTGTCCCTCATTAGATGTTGTCTAGAGAAGTCATTGGAGTCCTTTTGACAACTTCAGTAAGTGTAGGAATGATCCTTAAGGAAAACATATGATGCTGTTACAGCCCTGAGGCATAAAGAAATGCATAGCTTAGTGGGACATAAGTTGATGAGAACATTTTAAGACGCTTTAAGTAAAAGAAATATTTTAAAGTATATTTCAGCTCAGGAAGGGGTATGAACAAGGTAATTGGAATAGATGTTTTAATTACTCCTACATGTATCATTATGGGAGATGATAATGCAAGAAAAAGGAGGAAGCAATTTAACTAGCTACAGAAGCATAAATTATTCAAAGTCAACAAATGGATTAATTTTAAATGCATCTGGAAGGAAAGAATCAAATGGCAAATTGTTCTTTGGAGAAGAGTTATTGAAGGTCAACAGTCAAGTGTACCAAAAAGCTCTTATGAAGGCTGCTTTGTACTGCTAAACAAATGTGGTATCTTTTGGACCACATTTGACTCTGATTTGCTCTTAGCATCTCTCATTGATACCAGCATCACTGATGACAATGCTAACCATTTGTATGACTAAGACATGCTATACGCTCTGGTATTTTACAAATCAAATGTATGAAATGCTACACTCTGAACTGGAGATCTTTTATGGATATGACAGCTGCTATGCAGAAAACTTTTAAAATGAATTCATAGTATCCGCTTGAAGCCCAAACAAGAGTGGGCACAGTTTATGAATCAGACATGGACCAGTGATCAGGTACTGGGAAAAAGTAGAGTAGGATTTAGGATTCTCTAGAAAATATTTGTTCTTGTGGTTGCTGATTATTGTAATAAGGTACATAGTTGAAACTGATTTCAGAGCAAACAAAAAGAATCTAAACAGACTTTGAGAGACAGTTTGTCAAGTCAGGTCTTCAGTACATATTTACATAGTCGACTGGAACACTAGTCATCCCTGTGGCTTTTTTGTTTGTTGGTTTTTTGTGGGTTTTAAGGGCAGAAATTGAGGGCAGGAAAAGAGCCATAGCTTCTTTTCTGTTATTTCATAGAGGAAGATTAATATTAATTAAATATAGGACTGTATTATGCAAGAGGTACATCTTTGTTCTACACACATTAAATGTTCAGGATTAGACAGGTATTATTTAACTATCAGTATGCTACTGGACACTTACGTTAAGGAAGAATCAAATTGCAAATAAATAAGAGCCATATCCTGTTCCCACTGAAATCAGTAGTAAATTTCCACTGACTTTAGACCAGGATTTTGTGCTAAATACATAAATAGGGACTGGAAGATGCAGGTATGTCAAATAAAATAGATTTGCTATAAACACACAAACCTGGTAGAACTTCCTAAATAAACAGTTGTTTAAAAAAAAAGAAAAAAAATCTTAGTAACTGTAGACCTCTGTCTGCTTCTAACCAGTGCAAGAAAACATCCTCATTTGTATTTCTGCTTATGACTATGGTTAAAACCTCCAGTCTTTTAACTCATGGTACAGGTGCATTAAACTAATTGCAGGAACAACTGAATAGTCTCATCTGCTAACAATGGAAAAAGAGAAACTGTTATTTGGTAAAGATAAATATGAAACATAAGGATTTATATTAGCTCAAACATACAAGGATGGAGAAAAAATCACAAGTCCTTTTGGATGTTTCAGAATGCTGTATTTTTTTTTTTTTTAAATGACTGATCAATGAAAAACTGTGTTAAAAATCAGTAGGAAATTCAATGTTAAATGAGACATCTCATGGCAACAACCAGTATATAGAGCTGCTAACCAAAACAGGTAACCAATGCAGGCAGCATTCAGTTATTCCAGAGAGAACGTGGACCTAATGAATTTGAAACAATAAGAAAATAGGAAAATCATATAGGGGAAAGAGTTTTTAAATTAAAAAAAAAAAATAGGTATAATGCATTGTATCCTTGAGCTTTGATATACAAAGATCTTTCCTGACACACAAATTTAAAAAAAATGACAATACTAAAGTCTCAAAAGAAAACATGAATGCTAGCAATTTGATAGCATTGAATAACCTACTACATAGACGTTCCTCATTGTGTATTGAATATCTTTATGAGAAAATGTCACACAGAGAGTGGAATTCCCACGTGGGCAGCAGGCCGGCCAAAGGCTGGGCATGTTGTGCATCCTGGTTAAATCCTGGACATAGCATTTCAATGGGATTTGCAGCAGTCAGTGCCTTTGTGCTGGTTTTCCTGAGAGGTGAATTTGTCTTACAGAAGCTACCAGCATCTTTTGACTGTTTACTTAGCTTGGGTCTCATAAATCATTATTTCAGTGGACCTGAGATTTGGTCTTAAATTTATGTAATTTTGGTTTCTCTTTTTCCTGTCCCCCCTCTCCCTTCATCTGCAGGCCAGTGTAGCCAGATATTTCCCCCTCAGCTTGGTACGTTACAAATAATTCATGGCAATGGCACCACAGTTGGGACAGTGATCACATTCCAGTGTTCTGCTGAACACCAGCTTGAAGGACAGGGAGTCGTCACCTGCATTTGGAAAGGAAACAGTGCTCAGTGGACAGCGGGAGTTCCCTCGTGCAAGCGTAAGGATTATTCCAAAAAAATTTCTTTCACCTAAGCTGAGTTAGTCTCTAAGTTTTTTGATTTATAGTCCTAAAGTCTTTGGAAGAGGTAGGGTTCTATGTGCAGAAGAGACGTTGAGTTTCCTTGAGGGCTGAAATGTGTGGAATGCAATTAAACACCATTCATTACAACATGGGAAAGACTCTTAGTCAGACTCATGCCTGGTCTTACAGCACTGCCTTCACTAGAGTTACACAAGGGATACATTTTTCTCCCTGGCTGCAAAATCTTCTATTCTTCATTAGAGAAATGTATTGGTATGACCAATAATCCTGTACGTAAACATAGAAAACCCTTTTTGACTTAATTCCATTGTTTTTGGACAAGATTGTGCTATAAAGAACATGGAAATATTTTAAAATCAGTTAAGATATTGCCTTTTGTAGGAGAATGGAGCAGTCATCTTGTTGACAAATAGGGCATGAGTGGTAACTATATTAGGTATCTTTCATCCAATACTGCTCCTTATTTAATATACAGTGGATAGTAATTTTATAAGAAATAGGCCCAAAGCAGAATTCTGGATCTCAATGCCTCTGAACTTTGGAGTGTTTAAAATTCAGAATGGCTCTCAATTGGACCTTGTCTAATTCTAGAATCCCTGTTAGATGGATGATTTTGCTATGCACTTGAGATTCCTATTCCAGGTAGGCAAGCTCATATCTGACTAATGGGCTTCCATAAGAGAAAGTAATGGATAAGTATGCTTGCTTTTAAAAAGCTGTGCAAATATACAGCTATCTCTGGAATTCAGTGGAAACATTTCTAAGACTGGCATTTTTGGTGATGCAAGAAGTAACACTTTCCTTTGGTAAAGAAGACATAACCAGTGCTCAAACTGGACTAGCTGAGGCTGTAGTGCCACATCAACACTTCTCTATCTTTAGAGTATATTTTTCCTACTCCCACAACAATTACAAATATCCCCAGTGTCCAACTGAAGACTTGTTGCTGCTTCCAGGATCCTGTCCAGCTGATTGCTAAAAGAGAAAGTGACCTCATGTGCAAAATAAAATACAATTTTACAGATCTAACCTTCTCAGAATAGGTTTCTTTACATCTGTCTTTGTTTTCCAGTATTTGTTTTTTGCTAATCTAGTCCTTGTTAACATTTGATTAACAGAAAATGGTACATCATTGCATTTTTAATAGACTAACAAAGTTGTGCTTTTAAGGTATTGTGAAGCTAACAGTGTCATGTTTGATTAACTTAAGTGGTAGGATAGTTGTGAACAATTCATTAGTAACTTATAAACAGTAGATTTTTAAATAGTCCGCTTTGAGACCTCCTTGGTTTGAAATTAAGGCAAGATACCTGGAATATTTTAACAGGATGTAGGTTGCAGCATGTTGGTCTAAGGACATAGGCAGACAAGGTTCTTTGGGTGAATCTGATACCTTTTAGTAGACCAACTTAAATAGTTGGAAAACAATTATTAAGCAAGCTTTCGGGTTCAAAAACCCTTTGTCAGGCTAAGGAAGTTTCAGGAGTTGGTGTGTGCTCTTCCCTGTGGGGGCACATTTCTCACAAGAAAAACCACTCTCTCTCCAATTTCTCAGTCCTGATCCTTAAAGGAAACTTACAAACCACTTCCCAGAGACGAGCCTATGCATTAACCTCCTGGATACTAAAAATTATGGACTAAATATAGACATTGGATTTATGACACATTATAACCTGCCTGACATCTGACTCCCCAGGTATCTCTCCACTTTCATCCCCTCCCCCCCCCCCCCCCCCCCCCAGCCTCTCTCTCACCCACTGACTCCTCAATCTACATTTTTACTGACTACCTGTCTTGTATGCATACCAGCCTAACCCCTGGCTTCTTTCCTTCTCATTCCATCCAGGAAGAGTACACATCAACTGCTGAAACTTCCTTAGCCTGACAAAGGGTTTTTGAACCCGAAAGCTTGCTTAATAATTGTTTTCCAACTATTTAAGTTGGTCTAATAAAAGATATCAGATTCACTCAAAGAACTTTGTCTGGAACATTTTAATGCATACTGACGTGAAAAATGTCATTGCATTATTATTAGCAAGACAGTGAAACAAGTAGATCTCAGCACATTTTAATAGTAACGTGAAAGCTAAATGTAATAAGGTGTTTGCCTTGGAAACCTGTTTCTATATTTGCTTTCCTGCAGCCATATCGAAGTATGAGACTTTTGGATTTAAAGTAGCAGTGATTGCCTCCATTGTAAGCTGTGCCATCATCCTGCTGATGTCTATGGCTTTTCTAACTTGTTGTCTCATCAAGTGTGTTAAGAAAAGTGAAAGGAGGAGAACTGAAAGGTATGTGCACTTCCACAAAACCTTGCAAAAATAGCATAAATCCCAAGAAGAGAGAGAAGATCTGTGTGTCTAAGGCAGTTAAATGGCCCCTGTTGCAATATTATCTGAGTACCTCTCAGTTTTGTAAATGTCTTCATCCTCATGACACTCAGTGAGGTAATGATCTGCTTGGAGGAGGAGGAACTGAGACCCAAAAAAACCTAAGGCCCAGATCTTAAAAGGTATATTAGTGCCTAATTCCCTTGACATCAGTGAGGGTTAGGTGTCACAGCAAGGGTATGGTGGAGTGAGAAATTGAACCTGGGTCTTTCAAGTTCTAGTAACTGTGCCCTTCTTCTTGGGTTTTCTTCTTCATGGGATGACTAAGGATTTCCCCTACCCCTTTTTTCTCCTTTGCTTTATCTTCAGTTCTTATTAAAATGTGCAGGGATTCTTTATGGCTAGGGACAGACATTCAAAAAGCCTGAGCCTGAATTGATTCAATCTTTGCAGGTTAGTCTAACCTGGCTAGGCTGAACTGGTTTGTAACAGCACAGACATCAGCTCTGGACTGAGGAAATTCAGACACATGCTTGCAGTGGCTCAGGCTAGAAGCTGGAGGCACTAGAGCAGCCCTCTTTTCCCTGGTGTAGTGCTGAGCTGTGGGGGCATGGCCAGGCCCCAGCAGGATGCTCTGATTAGGGTGGGGTTTCCCCCCCACTCCTTGATAACAGAGCACTTATCAGCTGTTATCAGCATTTAGCACCCCACCAGAAAACAGCCTCTCATTATTTCAAGTTCTTCTTAAGCAACTTTTTTCAAGGAAGGGAACATTCTAAGGAGGGTAATTACCAGATACCTGTTGATGAGCTCTAAAAAGCCCTAAGCTGACACTGTCCTGTCTGCCTTGCACAAACACCGATTTGCTTTAGCTAGCATACCACATTCTGGCTATGGTCCATGCTATGGGAGAGAGGAGGGAGGGATTCCTGCTTGAGCAGTGAGCAGCAAGGAGGTGGGGTGGCAGGGGAAGCCAGGCATGTGCTGCTGTGCTTGCAAGTCTCTGCCAGAGCTTGAGTGAGGAAGCAAAAGGGAGGGACCAGCCCAGCTCTCTAGAGCAGAAAGCCCAGCCCAGACAGCATGCTGTGATGCTGGGGGACTCGGATCTAACTTAAATCAGGAAAGGGTCTGGGACAAACATTGCATAAACCAGTTTGATCCAAATCAGTTAAGTCTGATACTACAATCAAACAGGTTTATCTCAAACTTGTTCCAGCCATTTTCAAACTGGTTTATGTGCACTGAATGTCTGTTCTGTTACGGGTTTAAACCAGTTTCTGATCACTTGAACCAGTTTATGTGTAATGTCTGTCCCCAGCTTACCTGACATAAGTTGCAACACTTATACTGTGTGTTTCAAAACCTCGCTGTGAAAAAGTAATGGGGTGACCAGATAGAGCTTTATGCTACATCTGATTTTCTACCATTCTCAATAGGATACAGCTCTGTCTCATCATATATCTCACCTTCTGCATAAAGCAAAGGTTTACGCACATGTGAGGAGAGAGTTAGCTCCTGTACTGGGGCTGACATTATCCCTCTGACTGTCTCTTTCTCCTGACTTGTACATTTCATTCTCATGTCTGTGTTCTTCTGATTCCTTTACACCTGCCCAGAGCTCAGCTGGATGCCTCTACCTATCTCCGAGGAGCTGTTGTGGTACCTGCTATAGGCAGCCAGGCAGCTTCGTCACCTTCATTCCTGACACTCCCCCACTGGATTCAAACCTGGAAAAAGGGGTGTAGACTGGATGAGGCAGTTGATGTGCATAGAAGAGGTGGAGACCTGTTGATGTACATGGAGGTTCTAGTGCTGGTCTCAGATGTGTGAAAACCAGAATTTCCATCTCACAGGAAATTCTTCATTTCTAACATTTGGTTTTGTGCTAAACAGAAGCTACAAAGACATCTACAAGTTCCTGTGAAATTAAATTTAAGTCTGACCTTTTAAAATGGCTATTATAATTTGCAACATAAAAGAAAATCCTTTTGTGAGTGAAAAGTCATTTCAAAATGACAAAGTAGCCAGTTTCATTCTTTTAAGGTCCTCCTCCTTGAAGCATTTACTTTCTTTTATTTTTAGTGAATTTTGTCAAAAATTGGTCATTCCTATACAATGTTTAGCTAGTGATGGATCAGCATTTTCAGACAGAAAAATATTCTGCTTGGACACTTTTTAGCCAGCCCTGGTAAAACCATCAACGTCTAAGAGGAATCCTCCTCCCTGGATCCTCTCAGTTTGTGCCCCTCCCCCTCCCAAACCTCTATGCCTTTCCCCCACAACTATATGCCTAACTGCTCTACTCAAAAAACGGCATTCAGCTGTTTTGAAACCATGTCACCAAAAAATATTTATTGAGTTCAGGCTAGTTTGATGCCCTTTTCTTGTGAGGCCACGAGGGGGCTCTCAGCTCAGGCCCTAATCTCATTCTCTGCTCCTGTAACTTGAGGAAGCTTGGGAACTGGGAAGAGTTTGGTTTAACCCCATAGGGAGAGAACAGCTTGCAGCAAGCTATAGAACCGTCTCTCTGAGTAGAGAGTGGTAATAATGATTGGTTTTGGTGAGAGGTTTTCTAGACAGAAAACAAGTTAGGGCAAGAAAAAGATTGGGAGGAAGGGAAACAAAGTGGGGAGACCTCAGAAAATCCTCACATCTTTAGTAATAACTTGGCCCCTTGCGGCCTAAATCCTATAGGAGTCAATGGCAAAGCTGCCATTTTCTTCAGTCAGCAGAGCATTGCATCCTGGAAGAACAGTGTGAGAACAACAGAGAATAGGCATTGCCAATTTAGCAATTTTATCGCAATCCTCATAGTAGTTAATGTTCTTTCTTAAAGCCCCAGCGTTATGTGAGCATTTCAGGCACTGTTTAAAAATAACAAAAGTAAGATTTGAATCCCCTTGGGTAATAAAAAATCTTGCAAACATGCCCCATGTTCTAAAGGGTTAGAATCTGGAGGGCAAATAAAACAATCCTCATTTTTCCTCAGTTTCATCATTTTTCTATGGATATCATGAGTAAGACCAGATTGATTTTTTTGAACACCTGGGGGAGAGGCAATACTTCAAAAATGACCCAGGAGATCTTTTTCTGAATAGAATAAATTTTATTTTTCTATAAAGTGCCAGCAGCCCAGCAACATCAGCACTTTAAAAAAAGCCAGATCCTGGTGTCTGAACATAGGCAGTTCCTTTTGATGCCAGTAGCATTTATCTGTGAAGAGACACAACTTTGTGCTATAAATACAACTTACTATAAGTTAAAATTCAGAGAAGTTTCCTTGCTGCAGGTTCTTTACTTTCTCCTAAAAATTGCTCAGGATCTGATGATTTTTATAGATTTGGGGGGGTTACAGCTTAACAAGTAACATGGATGTTTTAAAAATAATATTTATTTTGTCTAAACTCCTGAATTTAGAAAACATCCTTTTCCAGGCAAGCACTTGCTTAAGTCTGGACTGAGACATGCCGTTAAAGTTTAGCACGTGTTTCAATGGTTTCCTCATAGAGATAAGTTGAAACTTGTTTTTTAGGTACTTTTCTGGATTGAGGTCTTAGTCATGTAAGAGTTAAAATACACTGTACTAATGCCAGAGCTATCTATTTTCAACTTTTCTGTGTTTACAGGGATATGCAGCTGTGGTACCAGCTCAGAACTGAAGAACTGGAAAACATGCAAGCTGCTTATTTTGGTTTTAAAGGCAGAAATAATAACAATAATAAAAAGCTCAGGAAAAAAACAGTATTTGATGATGGGGCTAACATGGCATATGACAACCAAGGCTTCTGCAGGTGAGATTATTAAAATTAAGTATGTTGGGTTTCTGAATGCACTTGCTGAATGGGTGTTAGAAAGAAGATTAGTGGAAAATGCATTTTAAAAATTGTCTCAGAAGAATAAAATGATAAACTGTATTGGTGGCTGATATCCTGGCAAGTGAACTGTTCCACTGTACATCATGTTTGCAGTTTGTGCCATATGGGTTGCATCCGGCAAGATGCTGGGCACTCCAGTAATGAGCTGCACATTCCTGGGATATTGTGTACAGCCTCAGCTTGCGTTAAAACCCCAGACTTGTCCTTGAACTCGCTCTTTTTATGGTAATTAATAATGTTGCAAGAAAAGCTATTCATACAGCTTGAAAACCTGAGTATGACCTTGAACTCTGCCAGTGATCTTCTGACCTGTGTTTATACCGCTGCTCTGGTCTACACAAAAAACTGAAATCGGGTTTTTAAAAACACAGAAATGTGTGTTAATATGATATTTATCCCCCTATACCTTCACTATCCTTTGATACTGCTCAGCCATCAAAGACAACAATGTACATTACAACTCTTGCTTGCTTTTGTTTCACTGCCCACTTTACAGACTTTGAAAACAGTGGTAGCTATAATTCTACTGGTTACCTATTAAAAAAAAATGTTATATAAACCACCTTCTGTGCCACAGTGCAGCTGGAAGTGGTATTCAAATAGTTCATTTAAACAAAAGTCTAGTGGCTGTTTAATCAATTTTTAGCTTTGGGTGGTTTCTGAAAGACTTAAAGCTAATTATATGGTGATTATATCCCAAAATGGTTTTCAAAAGGATTAAGAACCAGGTTTTTTAAAATTTTGACTACTCCAGCTATCTGTGCTGCAGTGTTAAACCTGTATAAATACACAGTTGTTAAATACAAAGATTATTGCTCCTCTAGAGCTGCAAGCACTTTAGAAGTTCTTATCTAAACCATTCAATGAAGTAGAAACTGTTTACCAAATGCTGTACATCCATCCTTAACTGACTATAACAGGGAAGATGTACTGGTAATTCATTTGGATAAGCAGATCTTCAGATAAACAGCTTCTATTTGATAAGGAGGTTGAAGTCTTTAAACTTTGTTGGGAAAGTGTGGCGAAAGGAGGGGGACAGTAAGGAAGCTTACAAACTTTTCTTTTTCCTGCGTAGAAAATGTATATGCTGAAAGCAAATATTGGAAGATATAGCCTACCTTTGTATAGCAGAGTGGTGGAGATGATGATGTAAAGGTGATGTGATTCCAGTGTAGTCATTCAAATATAACAAAAATCAGTTCAACCTCAGAAGCTGGAAGAGAATATTCAGTTTTGAGGTAGAAGTCTAGCTGTTGAGCATTACCACTTATATTCAGAGAAGCTGTTTCCTTAATAGGAGTTTGAAAGCATTTGACTGAATTTGAGCAATTATGAAACCACCTGAGACTCTGCTGGAGTTATTCCAAGGATGAACTCAATCCTGTAACAATATTCCCTCAACAAACTTTTACATAAATGCTGATCATAATACATTTATATTCACTGTTACATAAAACTTTATTAAAGCTGTAGATTTCTACAGTTTAATTATATTAACTGAGTCTATATGCCGTGATAGATATGGTATTGGAATTGTCTTAATGCATTATGTAGCAAATTAATTTTGAAGATGACAAATGATATGCCAACTTTGTGCATTACTTTTAAGGTTTATGATATGTTATATAATGAATTACCCTACATATCTAGCTTACTGTTAACAGCTTGACAGTATAGAGGTAAGTGTAAACTGAAGCTGTCTGATGTACTGTGCAGTTAGAAGACTTAATGATGGCAAGTTGTGTATTGGCTTTCCCCATGGTTTCTAACGTTTCTTGTCCCATATATAAGAAACATGTTGGCAACTTGCATTTTGGAGGACTTCTTTTTTGCTTTGGAGTTGTACATTGACCATTCAGACCAAACTACAAGAAACTGTTAAAATGACACACAGCAAAAATTAGTGCAACTAAAGTCTGTATTTTTTCACACAATTTACATAATTTCTTGAGAATATCCTCTGCCTGCACTGTATTGATCCACTGTTTCTAACAAGGAACCATGCTTTAAAGTAACACAGTTTGTTGTTTATTTCTTTTCCTTGATCTTTTTAGTGAAATAATGCATGTTATTTTAACCCATTGTAGTTTGCAGTTTCATCACTTTTTTCCTATGGTAGGCTTTAGTTGCTTTATTCCAGTTAACTAAGGAAAGCTACTTGCATGTGTAATTGAACCAGAACATCTGAGAGATGAAGCATGAGCTTATCTGTGGGGAGAGTGTTGACTATGATGACTACTTTGTCACCTGCTACTTAAGTTCTTGGGGAAATGAATGAACACACACACACACACACACACACACACTACTTGATAGCCCCAGTGCAACTTTGTCTCACCATTATAAGCTTTTTCCTATAAAAGTGTTCATCAGACATATGTTTCCATTTTTAATTGAAATAGTTTTAAAAGATGATTCTATATTTAGATCTGGCAATTTCAGGAAATTTCACTTTGTCAATTTTAAGGGGGAAAAGGCAATTCTATCAGACAGAGCAGAGCTTTGTTATGGTTCATAGTTCGAGGAGTCAGGATTAAAAAGCTCTCATTTAACTTGGTGATAGCACAGTTTTCCTCCGACGTGAGAACAAGAAGTAAATGTGGTAACTATGGAATTGTGTTAATATTTAGTTTTGTTATGAGAAGCTGAATTTTAATGGCAACTGTTGTGTATATATAAAGAGCTGTGTTCTGACCTTGCATGCACATGAGTAAGTCTTACTGAAGTGATGAGATGTAAATGCGCACACAACTGAGACCAAAGATAGCAGCAGCATAGAGTTTACAAATACTCACTGAAACAAAGTGTCATGTCTGTATGCTCCAGCCTTGGCAATATGACTAGTCTTTTGTAAGGAGTACTGACTTGCACCTGAAACATTAACCATCACTTATTTACAGGACATGTGCCTGCCACTTAGAAAGGACTAAAAAGCTTGCTTCCAAGAAGGGCTGAGCAGGCAGTGCAGTAAGCAGAAAATAGAACTAATTGCTTAGTGACAAGGGGGTTGAGAGAGATACTGTGGCTTCTGGGAAGTTAAGAGTTTATCTATACAGGGGAAATGACTGGAAAAGCCACTGTGGAATAGTGCTTTGTATGACCACTTTTACTATAGAATAAGAGCATCTACAGAGGGAGCTATTCTGTTTTAAATTCTTACGTGGGGTAGGAAAGGATTTTCCCATTCTGTGTACCTTCATGAGATATTAAACATTTTCCTCTTCTGTGCTGGCATGAAATCAAGACCTTTTGAAATTAGCTGCCTAAAGAAAGAGAGAGAACCCCAGACCAGAAGAGCAAAGGGGATTGTGTTTTGCACATTCCCCCAGGGTGTGACAGTTCCCAGGTTCAAGTTTCTTCTCGGTTTGACCTGGATCCTCCATATTCCATGCCCAACCACCCTACCAAGCTGTTTTCTATTAAAGAATAGATCTCTCTCACCAGAGATTACATTCAGAACCTGCAAAAAATTTGTTGAAATAGTAGTTTCATTCCGCCTTCCCCTACCAAAAATGGATTGATGAATCAGTATGCTTCAGTGAAAAAAACTGTTTATTTGTTCTATTGGCCAAGAATGTCCTTCCTTCCATTAAACCTACCTCATTCTGGAACACCTTTCCTGTGTTGCTGTCAGATGAACTTTCCTCCTTTGTCCATAACTGAGCATCACTCTCAACTCTTTTAGATATGCTACCAAAGTCTGGCTGAGCCAGTGACCTGTGCAGACTACACGCTCCACATGGGCATACTTAATGCTGAATATCTGCAAAGGAAAGGTTAATGAAAGCTGATCTTCCCCTTGCCAGGTACCAAACATACTGGAAAGATTAGAAAGCATGTCAATGAGAGATCAGATAAAAGTAATGAGACCCAAGAGAAGTGGAGCCACAACCCCTACATAGGTAGAAACTTATGCTCACCTACAGATGTGAGGTAGATGCAGCTGATGTTCAGCTAAATACTCACCAGAGATGGCAGGAGACAGTTAGTTGGGCCTTGGTGTTTCAGCCTGCAGAAACATAGCAAAGTTTTCTTTGCTCATTTGTGATTTATAAACTGAACTAATGCTCTCCTTATCCCTTTAAATAATTCTAGTCATGCTCTGAGGAATTCATGGGGATGCAAATAAGAAAAATATGCACAAACCAGCATTATCATAGGAAATTACATAGTGGAGCTAAGACACGCAGCAAACCATCTTCCTGTGCATATGAAAGCAGTGAATAAACTCAGGACATCCTGTTGTTCCTTTCTCACCATAAGAGCTGGCCTCAGCATTGGAAAAGCACTTAAAATTAGTAGTGGGAGAATGTGAAAAGATTTGGAATTCAGCTTGCTGTAGCATCCAAATTATGAAATGAAATATCCAAACTAACAGAAGTTACCATTTCCCTCAATCTCAGTACAATCCTTTTTACAATAGCAGGCCCTGCAATGGACCCTTCCTTGAGAAAGGAATGTGCTGTTGCCTTTTCAAGCAGGACTGGTGGCTTCCTGTCCTGAAGATACCAGCAGATCAACTCCTTTAGGGCATATGTCTGTTGTCTCTCTCCTGCATTCAGTCTTGAGGGAACAATTACAAATCACTTCTGCGTATCTTTTGGAACACAAGCATTTGGGTCAGCTAACCCAGCTGATCAGACCCGAAGATCTGCTATGTGATTAAATCTTTCAGTCTAGCTCAAAAATGCATCCCATATAACTATATTGAAATCGGTTGTGAAAGAATTAGGAGAAAGTCCTGCATTTTTGTTGGAACATATAGAATTATTCCTTCCTTTCCCTCTCCCTGCCCCCGCCTCCCTGCAAAAAAGCTCAGAAAGGCACATTTGGTTTCTTTGAGTTTAAGGTGGATTATTTTGCATAGCTCTGGAGCTAATTAGTTAGCAGAACTGAGTGCAGGAGTGAGTCAAGTGAAAAAGCCCATGTCTTGGAATACATTTGAGAGCCCTTCTTTTGATACCAATTGTAACTGGTATGCATTACCAAACACAATCTCTTAAGAAGGGCAACAGATTGGTACACTCCCACAGGAGTTATTTTTAGTGCCTGTCTCTGAAAGCTCATGAAATTGGTTACTGGATCCTTTCTAATAATATGCAAGATGTCAATCATTGTGCATTACCAGACTACAAAGGTAATAATAATTAAGCAAAATCTAATAAAAAAAATATTTCCAAGTGAAATGAGTTCATTTCTTCATATTGTCTTCATAGACAACAATGCTATTAGGAGAGGTGACCTAATTTGGGGGAAAGTGTGTAACAAGTGATGAAGCAAAACCGGTGAGATGAACTCCTGACATTTTGCTTATACAGAAATCCCAGATGTATGTTTGTATATGTATGTAGTGGTTATAAAGGGCTATGTTCATTCCTAACCATGTGTAAATACACAGATCAGAAGCAGAGTTGTATGAATGTGCACTTCAACTTCTGGCAGGCTTGTTGGAAATCGTTTTCTGGAGAACACCTGTGCTTCCTGTTCCACCACAAGCTGGAACACTATGGCCTTGGGTAGAGGACCTCTGGGAAGTCTAAGGGAAGGAGGGGACAATATGCAGCCACAGTCCTCTTCCTCTTCTACATCCCCAAACCCACTGCTTCAGGTGTCTTTTCCTTTCTGTTCACATTAGCAGGGGAGATTATAAAGCCAGAGGATAAACTACTAAATTAAAAGGGCAGCATACTTCAGTGATCCTCATGGAAGCAGGATCATGTGGTGCAAGTTAGTACCAATGAGAGAGAAGAAAGCATGGGAAGAAACTCCCATGCTACAAGACAGGCTGTTCTAAAGTTCTGATAATAAGAGCAAAACAAGTAGAGCATAAAATATAAATACAAAGCAAGCACAAAAACTCAGCAGCCGAAGGTTGTAGAGCCAGAAGATATATCACTGGATAAACCAAATAAAGAGAAAATATTCTTCAGTTGTGATTTACTGCCAGATTGTAAGAGATCCCTAAAGGCCAATCTGTCCTGAGAAAATTCTAGAAATGCTACCAAGCGCTGCAGGAATTAACACTGCAGCTGTATTTTTCACCGCAACTCTTGATTTACGGGGTAGAAATAATGATGCTGCAGGTATGGGTGAAAATGCATTTGCATTCTAAGGGTCAGGTTTGCTTCAGTTTTGTTAGCGCTAGGCCTCTGCCCAAGTTAAATTCCCTTTGTGCTGGCCTCATGGGAAAACAGGGTAGTTCCCTCTTGTAATGAAAGCTTCTGTCAGTGGAAAGCCAAAGTAGCTGGCTCATTGATCACATAGGGAATATGTTAGATGCTGGAGTGTGGCTGCTGCCGTTAGTACCTCCAGTGCAGTGTTTCCCAAACTGCTGATACCTGGAGCACACTTTTCTGGGTTAAAATTGGTTGCACACTTCACTTTTATACCTGAAAAGCAAGGGAGGTGGGGCGGGGGTTGTCAAATATTTCTAAATTCAGAAAAGATACTGAGTGGGACACAGAGGCTAAAAAAGTTGAGAATTACTGATGTATCTGGTGCCATTTAAGGTGGTGGGGAAAGGACCTCACTCTGCTGTACCCTGTTCTCTGTCTGCCCCCTTCTGTCATCTGGTCTGTATCTCAGGGGGCAGAGGCAGCCCTGCTGATGAGACTGCTCTCCTCTCTGGCACCCAGCCCTGGGAGCATGGAAGGAGTGGTGAGAGGGCAGCCAGGCTGCAAAGTGTGGCTTCATGCACATCCACCCACTTGCAGCAGAGCACACTGCTGGAAGCTTGGGGCTGCCTGGGGGTAGTGAAGGTTGCAGGAGTCACAGCAGTCCCCAGAGGAGCAAGTGCAGGCATTGCTGAAGTAGTTGACACAGGTGCAGGGTGCTGGATGGGAAAGGGGAGAGTATTTACCTCCTCACACAGTGGGGATCTCACAGCACATTCCCATTGCTCCCAGAGAGCACTAGTGTGCCACAGCATGTCCTTTAGGAATCACTGCTCCAGTGGCTGAACTAGCTTGCATGCAGCCACCTCTGCCATTCCTGACCTTGGCATATCTGTGAATGAAATCTATGTGGCTGTTAGGATCCATCCCTGTACTCAGGCTCTTGCTGCCTTTAGAGAAAACGCTCATTTGACTCCAGTTGTTTGTAAAGCTGAGTTTCTTAGGCAGTCTGTTTTGGGGTGTCTGGAAAAAGAGCCCAGTAATTTTTTTTGTTTGTTTGTTTGCTAAGAACTCCAAATCCCTGTGGTGCTTTCGCATTAGCTGCCTGGGTACAGTTTTACATCGGTGATTGCAGTGAAGATTTTATAGCCACAAAGGTGAGGATGTTCCAGATTTTGATTCCCATGGCGCTGATGACTCAGCCACATTTCACTTCCATTAAGGCATAAAGACCAACCCTGAACGGTTCAGTCCAAAAAAAAAAATTTTATCCACTCCCTGCTGTTTTCACGCAGTGCTCACATTTCCAGATTCCCATAACTTTGGACCATTTGTCCACATAGGTACTACTCTTTGCCACTGTGAAATCTAGGATACTAGGCTAGATGGACCTGTGGACTAACCAAGTCTGACACTTCTTATAGTTCTTACACAAGGCATCACACTGACTCACACCAAGGCTACATGAAGAAGTGCAGATCTGTAGGCAGTGGTGATAAAACAAGTTTTGGTATCACCAATGTGTTTAATATTCCATTATATGAAATTCACAATGAGATGGCTATAAATATTAAATTTTTCAATGCATAATATGCATTTAGGCAGGCACAGTTCTTTGGGTAGATGTAATATCTTTTATTAGACCAACTGAGTAGTTGGAAAAAAGTTCTTTGCAACCTTCTTCAGGCATAGGGAATCTTTGCTGTTCTGAGACTCCAAGGAATGAAAGAAGCTGAAAGTGTGACAGGATGTCAGTGAGAATGTAAATAGGTAGAAATTAGGAAAACAAAGTTATGACATACCACCCTTCCCTGGAACCTACACGGAAACTCCTCAAACAGTTGCAACCCATATTAGAAGAAGACCCAATTCTTGGAGCTCTTCCCAGAGCCACCCATCCTAGCCTTTAAACAAGCATGGAACCTTGCTAACCTCATCACCAGAAACAAACTCCCTATGACCCAAACCACACCTAGTGGATCCAGACCATGCCAGGACAAGAAATGCAAAACCTGCCAACACATCTCTACTATTTCCACGATAACCACACCCCACAACAGAACCATCGCCCTTCCTGGATCTGACACCTGCACCTCCAGAAATGTTATAGATCTCATCCAGTGCACCAAATGCCCTGATGGAAAATATGCAGGAGAAACCAATCAACAACTGCACCCCAGAGTGAATGCACACCAAAAATCTACCAAAGACCAGAATACCTAACTACCTGTGGATGCACATATCTCACAAGACAATTACCCCCTCTCTATTCTTAGTTCTAATCCTCAAAGGGAACTTACAAAACACCTTTCATAGATGAGTCTACAAACTTCATAAATCTACTGGATACAAAAAATCATGGACTCAGTATAGACATTGGATTTATGCATAGGTGGCAGAAGACCAGGGCTAATGGGGCTTAACCCCCACAAACACAGGGCAGCAGCGGCAATACAGAGGACTGCAGAGCAGCCCTGCTGCAAGCTCTGGCTGGCTGCAGTGGGGGGAAGGGGCATGCACAGACAGACATGCAGCTGCAGCCTGCAGAGGTGGCCAGGAATGCAGTGCCCAACAGGTAAGTTTATGAAGGAGAAGGGGGGGGGGGCAGATTGAGGCCCCCATAGTGAGGGAGGGAGTGGAGTAGGGGCTGAGGCAAATGGGGTCCCAGGGCCGGGGTGGGTGGTGGGATGGTCAGAGCCCAGGTGGCTCGTTCAAGGGCATGGGGGCGGGGGGAGGAGGAGCTCCCACAGCTGTGTGCACCCCAGGGGAGGCACAGGGGACATATGCCTCCCAGATTTATGCATGGGGCATCAGGGAGGAATGCTAGGAACTGCCCCCCACTGCCGGAGCTCGGGAGCTGCAGGTAATGCCATGTGCCTTCCACTGCTGGGTGGGCAGGGGATGGGGTGCAGGCACAGCTTGCGCACAGAAGGCACATGGCATCGCGTGGCTCCTGGGTAACGGCAGTGTGGAGCAGAGCCCAGTCCACAGTAGCAGCCTACCTCTGTGAACCCTGCATACAAATCCAAAGGGCACATGCCCGCTGTGCCTCCCCCAGGGTGCACACAATGGTGGGAGCACTCCCGCACTTCTGGATGAGCCGACCAGGTTTCGACTGTGCCCCAGGGCCCCATTCTTCCAAGCTCCAGCCCCTGCCTCTGCCCCTCTTCCTCCCTCACTGTGGAGGCCTTGATCTGCACCCCCATACCTCTCCCCCTTCATAGGCTTACCTGGTGGGTGGTGTGTGTGTGTGTGTGTCTCTGTGTGTGTAAGTATCTTTTTAAGTTTAAATTTTACTCAGCTCTCCCCCAATAATATTTCTCCCTCTGCCTATGGATTTATGATGTATTACAACCTGCCTGACATCTGATTCACCAGGTACCTGCCAGACCTGATCTTTTACACTCCCCCACACCGCCCCCTCTTTCTTCCCTCCCTTCCTTTTCTACCCTTTGTCTTCCTAATTTCCAGCTATTTACTTTTTCACAGACAGCCTCTTTTCTGCCTTGGAAAACTACTAGGGTAGAGTTTTCCTTACCTTTGGCTTTTTTCCCCCCTCATTTCCCCCCCCTCCACCCCCCTTCCCTCTTCTACCTTTTGTTTTCCTAATTTCCACCTATTTACATTCTCACTGACATCCTGTCACACTTTTAGCTTCTTACATTCCTTTGAGTCTCAGAACAGCAAAAACTCCCTGTGCCTGAAGAAGGGTGATTGTGCCCAAAAGCTTGCAAAGAACTTTTTCCAACTACTCAGTTGATCTAATAAAAGATATCGCATCTACCCAAAGAACCTTGCCTGCCTATGTCCTTAAACTAACACGGCTACAATCAAAAAACCCAGTAATATGCATTCATGCATAACTCTACCTTCCACCCTACCAAAAAGAGGATAAAATTGTACAAAAGAGGTTTTAACATAAAATCAATTGAATTTTGGTCAAGTTGTATTACAGTGATTTCTTTTGTTACGTTGCTTCAGTGTATAATAGTTATACCGGGGGGTGGGGGCGGGGAAGGGAAATATGTACACTATAAAATATGGTATCATGTGAGTAGCTTAATACAATTGCATGCAAGTAGATACATAATAACAGAAATTAATTTACCTTTTAAAAAGGCAGTAGCATTTTTCCTGTCAAAGATGACAGGAGCCAGGGGCAGTAGGACACAGCAGCCCAGCTGTGCCCCACCACAGCCATTTCCCTGCCTTCCCTGCCCCACACTGCTCCAGCACCACATGGCTCCTGGCTGCATTGCCAGAGCATGGGGCTGCGCTGGTACCCCAGGTATATGTGTGTGTGTTCATAGGGTGAGTCTCTCTCTCTCTCTCACACCCACACACACACACACACACACACACACCCCCCTTGCACTGCCATACATGCAGTGCCCATACCCACACTCCCTCACAGACCCCAGCCACCCTCTCCCCACACACAAGCCCCCACATACCCACCCACACCCCACATATCCACACACCCCCACATGCTTCCTCCCCCACACCTATCCACCCCCTGCTGACACCCCCACACCCCACATGCCCACACACCCACAGGCCCCCACAAACCTATCCCCATCCCCCCACAATATACAAGAGTAAGACTTCATTTTAAGCTATTATATACAGGACAAAAATATTTTTTGAAATCAAATTAATGAATGTTTTAGATTTTGCTTTTTAGACTATAATTTGGTATTTTTCTGGTTCCAAGATGGCAAAACCCCTTGGTCAAAGGAGTACTGCTGGGGCAAGGGGAGGGACTTCTGGTGGCAAAGGTCAGGGGTTAGGGGGTGAGACTTCCAGTCACAAGATGGTGACCAGGGGGTGGGGCACCTGTCAAGGGACAGGGCTACCCATGCAGCCCTTGAAAGCTTACCAAAACTCAGTAAATGGTCCTCCACCTGAAATAATTGCCTACTCCTGCTATATAGCATGTGATCATTCCCTTCCCTGCTTTGCATATGAGAGCTGCTTCCAAGGAACAGCCCATTTCTGGTCCACTGGTGTTATGATAAGGAGGAAATTTACAGTTGAAAATTTAAGCTGCAGTACAGAGGCCACAATAATGATGCCCCCTTCATGTTAAGCCTGTTGTTACTATTATATTACTAAGGTTCAGGACATCCTATATTGGGGTTTGGCAACCTTTTTAGAGTGGTGGCTGAAATAACATAACTTGGTCTGAGGCAAGCTGGTTTTTTTGACTTGGCTACTGCAGCTTCACTGCTGATGCACACGCCACAGAATCTGAAATGCCTGCTGAATTGCCTTGCCCTGCCACACACTGCTGAAATGCCATGGAATTGCCCTGCCTCCAAAATGCTGCTGATATCTGGGTTTTGAGCCAGGTGAAATCACTTGCATGAATATGCAGGGCTAGGAAGCAGTAAAATTCAAGACTTCCTCTTTTTCCCCTACGCAAAGTCCACAGACACGTGCCATCTGTGAAGTACATGGGTCCTTTCCTTGGCACATATAGTCTCAGAGTAGGTCAGTGGGAGGCAGGAATACATCCCCTTCCCTTCCCTTTCCACTATCTGGAGTTCTCCAGGCACTCTGGCAGAAAATAGGCTGTGGGTCAATGGCTAAATCCCTTAGTATGACTCCAAATGGAATTGAAAATTAGTCTGATCCAACTCAATTAAGTTATGGGCTAACTGGGAAAAAAGGAGTGTGTGCCTTTAGCTCAGACTGGGAAAAGTTAAATATATATATGATGGTGCTGAGGTGATATTGTTGCTGTTATGATCCAGAAGAATATGCAAGGCACGAATTCCTGTGGGTGGTACTTTTTTTATTGGACCAACTGCACAATTGGGATAGATATAGCCAAACTATCTATCCCAACCATGCAGTTCATCCAATAAAAGAGAACACCCGCAAGAATTTTTGCCCCTCAAAAATATGCATAGCTTTCTCCTCTCTATTTCATGCCAGTTCCTCCTTATGGTTAGGCAAAGAGGCATGGCTTGAGCATGGTTAGGCAAAGAGGAATGGTTTGAGCATAGAACTAAGAATCAGAACCATGGCTCTGACTGACTCCCAGCTCATGTACCCTTTCTGCCTCTGTCTTCCAGCTGTATATGAGATAGCTAAGGTATTTGCATCTACTGTATATATGTTTGTAAAGCATTTAGAATGTGATGGGTTCCCC